CTCGCCTTGGCATGGGCTTCTCTCTTTTTATTACAATTTATGTCATTCTGCCAAGCACAAAATGCCATTCTTTTCTCATTGATGAGTTGCTCAATTTCAGCATCATTCTCGTCAAACCAGTCCTGATGTTTTCTGGTGTGGTAGACTATGGTTTCCTCACAGGCATTGATGATTACTGCTTTCAACTGGCTCCAATGTTCCTCAATTTCTTCTGGAAACTCTGATGGGAGCTTTTCTTCTAAGACTGCTTGCAAGTGGTCACGCTTAATAGGGTCCTTCAAATCTTGAACCTTCAGTTTGCGTCTGACCTGCTTCTTTTGCAGACTCCATTTGGGAGCTATCTTAACTTTCATTGTGGATCGAATAAGGCGATGACCAGTCCAACAGTCATCAGCACTTGTCATTGCTCTTGTGAGAAGTACGTCACTACGATCTCGGGTATGAACTATGACATAGTTGAGGAGATGCCCGATGAAAGCTTCAAAAATGGTGGACCAGAGCTAATACGGAAACTTTACCAGCTTATCCTTAAAATCTGGGTAAAGGAGGAGATACCCAGTGAAATGAGGGATGCCTTGATTGTCACTCTCTTCAAGAAAGGGGATAAAGTGGATTATGGAAATTATCGTGGTATCTCCCTCCTAGCCACTGCAGGCAAAGTTCTGGCATGGATCCTTGCAACCCACCTTCTGCCCCATCAGAAGAAATTTTACTATAGTCACAGAGTGGTTTCCAACCATGTTGTGGAACTGCAAATATGATCTTCACAGCACAGCAGCTGCAAGAAAAGTGTCAGGAGAAAAACCAACCACTGTACATGGCTTTTATTGATCTAACTAAAGCCTTTGACTCAGTGAATTGCCGTGCCCTCTGGACTGTACTTTCCAAGATTGGATGTCCTGATAAATACATCAATGTCCTAAAATTGCTTCATGATAACATGAAAGCGACTGTTCTGAGCAGCGCTGGCTCCCAGAGTGAACCTTTCAAAGTACAAACAGGAGTCAATCAGGGCTGTATCATCGCTCCAACCATGTTTGTGATTTTTATTGTTGTTATTCTTTACCTAATTCCTGGAAAGGTTACAGCTGGCATTGAAATCACTTACAGAATGGATGGAAAGCTTTTCAGGCTTAGCAGGCTGAAAGCCAAGAGTAAGATTTCCACAACATCTATTGTGGAACTTCAGTATGCTGATGACAATGCAATCTTTGCCCACTCTGAGAAAGATCTTCAAACTATCTTGAATGTGTTTGCAAATGTTTACGCATGTCTTGGTCTCACTCTTAATATCAAGAAGACTAAAGTGCTCTATCATCCCTCTCCAAATGAGATATTACATGCCCCATCTATCAAAATCAATGGAGTGGCACTGGAGAATGTCAATTATTTCCTCTACCTTGGAAGTCATCTTTCATCCAAGGCAGATGATGCAGAAATTCAACATCGCCTGAGCAGTGCCAGTGTAGCTTTTTCTCATTTACAGCACAGGGTCTTTGAAGATCACAACATTTGAACAGCTTTTTTATCAAGCCATTATTCTCCTAACACTGTTGTATGGGTCCAAAACTTGGACAACCGATAGACACCACTTGAAAGTCTTTGAGAGGCACCATCAACGCTGCCTTCGTAAGATTCTAAAGATCAAATGGGAAGACAGGCGCACTAATATTAGTGTTCTGGAAGAGGCAAAGACCACCAGTATCGAGGCAATGATAATCCATCAGCAATTCCACTGGACTGGTCACATTGTCCAGATGCCAGACCATTGCCTCCCAAAACAGGTCCTGTTCTCTCAGCTGAAAGAAGGGCACCATAACGTGGGTGGACAATGGAAGCATTATAAGGACTTGCTGAAGGACAACCTAAAAAATGTAATATTGACATTGATACCTGGGAAACACTTGTCTAGGATCGCTTAAAATGGAGTGAAGTCCTGATGGGCCCCTGCATTTTGAACTTGCTCGCTGACAAGCCAAAGAGGACAAGAGGCACAGGAGGAAGGAGAGACTGGTTTCCAGTCATGGTCAACAGCCTCCTGCTGAGCCTGAAAACATCTGCCCTCATTGTAATAGAACTTGTGATTCAAGGATTGGCCTCATTAGCCACCTGAGGACCCATAACTCCAATGGAAGATGGTCATACTCGGTAACGAGTGATCGCCCATCATCATCACAGTCTTGATAAAGACCAAACAATAATGAGTGCCCAAAAGAAACTCAAATAGATCCTGAACTTGGTTGTCATGCCAAGATGATGTTATTTCCACATTCATTGTAAAGGACCCATGGCAGACACTGAGATGCCAATCCAGTGGAGAAGCTCTGTGTGAGAGTTGGAGTAATTGGTGAGTATAGAACCCAAATAGCAAAAGCTGCAGACTTCTTTGACAGTTTCATTATTCAAAGAGATTGGAGTCATGGGTGGACTTGATCCTACATTTTTCAGCTTTGTCTTTGACCACAAAACATGGAGGCCAACTTTAGAAGACATATATGCACATATGAAAGGGAAAATATATGCCCTAGAATGGAAAACTATTGCTTTATGTATTTAAAAAAAGATTTCAGCTTGGCTATAATCACCAGAGCTACAGACTGACTCTTATACTTTGTATTTGAGATTTTCAAAGCAGACTAGGGGATTTGGACACATATAGGCCATTAATACCAATGGAAGATAAGTATCTAAATCCCCCCAGACAGTTTTATCTTTTAAAAAATATTCTAGGTTTTCTCTTATCTCTTCACTCTCCCTTCATGGGGTTTTGGAACATCTGGCCTGTCTTAAAGGCCTTACCTTCTCTGTCACAGTACAGGTTTAGACAATTGCACAGCTGGAGGAAGGAAAAGAGTGAATCAGATCTCGAAAAATAATGCATGTGTCTGAATTAGACTATAAACTTTCATATGCATTTGTACAATTGAGACCCTGATGCTCTCTTGAGGACCTTTGGGCATCATTATAATACAAATGGCAATAATAGTGACAGCAGCATTTGTTTTTAGCACAGCTGACTTTCTTCCTTTTTGTTTATTTTATTTTACTTTAGACTAGCTCTGACCAAAAAATCTCAAGCTAAGATCATTTCCCACTCCATCCCTCCTTGTGCCTAATTACAATTTCTTGGGGGAAATCACACAAAAAATGGGAACCTCCCATAAGAATAACCTAGGAATAACCTCTTCTTTTAAGAGTTTGGTTCCTGTTATGTCAGTAGTTTTATCTTCAGAGAACTTCAGCAGCAGAAAAGAAAGGTTGAGAGGCAGAATCTTCAGTGCTGATATAAACCCAAGGAGTGTTATTCCCCTCACAGATATGACTAGTATGAGATGCCAAATTAAATATACTCATTTTGCCTTCTATGTGGCATTCATAATGGAATCAGTGAATCTGTAGAAAAATGGAGCAATAAGAGAGCAAGCAAGTTCTCCCTGAGATCTCAGCTGGTATAATGGTGAAGTTCAAAGCCATTCTTCCAAGATACCATTTTCAATGGAACTGAGCAGGACCTCTCTTTTTATTGCACACACACACTCACTAAGTACTAGATGAATACAACCAAATGTATGTTACCTCTGTGCCAGCCCCATATAGGCTGATTTGGAAGGCCATAATGAGGACTGGTCATCAGATCCAGTGCCACAGCCCTTCCAACTAGTATGGTAGGTCTGTGGCTATGTAGCAGCCCCTTCACCAGTCTTTGGTTGGAGGAGTGGATTTCATTTTCTGTATCCATTGGCAGTTCACCTCATTTCTGTCACTCTACGGGTGCAGTGGCTGTGCAGCACCATTCAGGATCAGGTCAAAGGGCAGACATTTTGTTACACATTTCACTAGAGAGCTGAGTGTGATGGTCAATGGAATGTTATAAGGCTGGTGGAACAGAGCAATTAAAAGCCATATATCTCTTCAGAGCGATGGAATGTTCTAATTCAACTCTCAACATAGTTCTGTTCAGCGAAAAGCTGTTTTTGGTGCCAGGACTCAATTCTCAAAGGGGGTGCCTAAATTAGATTGGCACTTACACACCTAAAATAGGCATTTGAGCACCTAAATACTGAACTGGGTATCCTCAAAGCACCCAAGTTTGAATATTGTGCTCCTCAACTTGCGTGTGCAATCTGAAAGGTCTTAATGGAGAATTAATGTAAGGGTGGGGTTATACTAATGGAGCAGTGTGAGATGGTCTGGACTCTCATCCCATCTCCAAGAAAATGCATGCCACAGAAATTGGTAAAAAATTCAGGCCAGGATGCCATCACAAACATTTATACATTTATTTAAAATTTAAATATATTTTCAAGATCTGGTGGTAAAATTATTAATCAGTTTATTGCAAATATTTAGAGACCAAAAATGGGATGTTTTGATCATACATACCTGAAAGTGGAGGCACAAACAATATGTACACATTGGTAAGATAGCATGAATTCAGAATTTCCTTGCCTTGTTTTTACTCTTAACCATAATGTTATTTTAATGTTTTGTGTCTTTACTGATTTTTAAGGGAAAAAATGGATGCCAGGGTTTCTTGTCTTTGTGTCACTTCATTATATCTTGCTACATTCTGTTCAGTTGCTCATAACCAGACTGCAATCAACCAGTGCTTTGACATTGCAAAGTGGTCTCATTCAGTTGTCACCCGTGAGATTTTTTACTCATTTTCCATGACACTATCTGCATAGATTTGTAGTGTCACTGCTTTTATTCTTTTGGATATTGGGTTTTCAGTATAATTTTTCATATTTAACTAGACTAATGTCTAACGAATCAATTTTAAATGCTGTGTGCTGGGATTTCTTAGGAAATATGATTATTGACAATAAATATAACAAACATGAAATTCTGCAGTGCAAATTTGACTCCTTTTTCCAGATAGTTTTCTGAAATGTGTGGCTTTTCTCCCCCCCTCAGAGTTGCACTTATAGCTATAATACCTTTGTTCTTATCCATGTGGGCTTCTTAGACTATAAAAAGTTCAGAGTAGTAGTCCATACCTTCCAGCTTCCTGCAGCCAAGTTCTGCAGTGCACCTGCTGCTCCTTCCAGTGTGTCTGGATTTGAGCACTCAGAGAGAAGTGTGAGGTAGGGTTTGACTATTGAAGGGTGCCACAGCATCTGGATTCCTTTTGGTGGTTCTGCACAGTCTGGGAGAGGTCCTACTCCATCCCACTGTTGGAAAGGAGAAACCAAATGTCACAAAGTATGCCAATATCAAAGAGAACAATACTCAAACATTTTGTTATATAGGCCCATGGCCAAAAAACCACCTTCACCTTTAACATACTGTTTGAGATCCTTGAAGGAGGCAAATTCCCCTCCCAGTACTCTTTATAAAATAGCTTTTTGATTGTATTTGACCTCACCATTAGTGAAAAATCTAAGAGTGTTCTACCTAACTAGCATAATGAGAGCAATTAGCTTTCAATGCATAATTTAATTTTTTCAGGGGAGTGAATACCTATTGGGACACACATGTTTCAACAGATCTTAATAGATGCTTTAACAACTTGCATAAAAAAGAGATTTTCTGTTTCTATTTGACTTGATCCTTTGTGCTCTTTCTTTCCAGTGGGAATCACACTCAAAAAATAAATTACATGGGGGCATGTGCTCATCACCATTTATAGGCCAGGAGGGTAAAGTGGCTAAGAAGTAGCTTTCCACTACCACACAGCTACTTCTAGACTCTTTGTGGCACTTAAGCTGCTACTCAGCTCTGAGGGCAGCTATTCTGAAGGGCTTCAAACAGCCCCCAGTTTCTTTTATAAATCTACCCAACACAAAAACTTTCTTCATCAATGTAGAATTCTGCCTCCAAAATTACTCCATCCTGATGCCTAATGTGGTCAGTATACGGTATCTAGTCTAAGGGCTGGTCCACACTAACCCCCCGACTTCGAACTAAGATACGCAACTTCAGCTACGTTATTCACGTAGCTGAAGTCGAACTATCTTAGTTCAAACTTACTGCAGGTCCACACGCGGCAGGCAGGCTCCCCCGTCGACTCCGCATACTCCTCTCGTCGAGCAGGAGTACTGGCGTCGACAGCGAGCATTTCCAGGATCAATCTGGGATCGATTTATCGTGTCTAGACAAGACGCGATAAATCGATCCCAGAAGATCGATTGCTTACCGCCGGACCCGGAGGTAAGTATAGACGTACCCTAAGAACAGATCTCACAAGCCATCAGGAGTAGAAATGGGAGCTTTCGTCCAATGAAAAGAGGAGATCTCCTCTTTCCAATCCAATTTACAGCATCCCTAGAAGGTCCTAAGATATGGGACTTAAAAGTCAAAATACTTTTATGCACAGAAATGCTATTTTAGATCATTTAAAAAGTATTTTTAAATACAATACTTTTATGTTTCTCTCTATGTGCATTTTACAGGCAGAGGAATACAAAAAAGAGAATCTCAACATTTTAAAACATTTTCTAAAACATTTCTAATAATTTTTTTTCTGTAAAATATGTGGCATATACAGAATGCATGACGTGAGTGATGATTTGGTTAAGCTGAAACAAAGACAAACAAGCCAGCAGCAGGCAGAAACAACCACTCCTGCATCCCCACTGCCTCTGGAGGATACAGCCAATCAGTCAGTCTGCCCTGATCCCACTCATCCAATGGCAGTAGAAGCAGTTGGAACAGGCTCTGACCTCACAACCTGATCAACCCATTCCCTCCCCTGGGGGGAAGAAGGAGAGGAAAGCAGCAGCAGCTCTAGATCCCTCAAACCTATGGGGGCATGACATGCATGGCCCATCACTCAGTGGCCCAGCAATTACACATCCTGGTTAGTGGGTGAGCATTGGTCCAGATCCTCAGCTGATGTAAATTGATATGGATCTATTGACTTCAATGGAGCTATGCCAGTTTACACCTGCTGACCATTAGGTTTTGCAAATGAAAAAAGAACAAACACAAATGCAAAGTTAACTGGTCTTTCAATCATGCACACAAAGAGTTATGTGAGAGCAGCTGCTACGATATATAAGTCAGAACACTGGACAAAAAAGACAACATATAATCAATGGAAAAGCAGTCTCTACTGGAGGCACTATCAAATGCCCAGAAACAGTAGCAAAATCACCTTAAAAGGGTTGAAGCTAAACCCCGCTGAATGTAGCCTCTATGAAATGGAGCATGATGTGCTTGTAAAATCGGCTTGTTAAAATTCTGCTTTCAAACTGAAGAAAAGGTTGGTTGACTTCCCTGCTGGTGAGAGAATTCAATCCCCCTCTTTGGACACAATAATCAGCCCTTCCAGGAATTGCTTCATGAAGGCTCATGAAAATCTACTTTTCCCCCCTTAGAGAATGCAATAAACTGCCTGAAGTCTCAGGTATTGGGGGGGGAGGGGGGAGGTAGGAAATTCCTCTTATGAGGGGCCCAATTCTGTCCTCACACCAGTTTTTACACTGGTGTAAGTACATTTGCTTTAATGGAGTTACTCCTGATTTACTTTGGTACAAATATAATCCAAATTCAGGTCAAGGTCTTCACCTCTTCCCTCCCAATTCTATTTTAAATTACATACCTTGAACACTGTGCTATCGAATTTATATACCCGGTTTTTGTTATATTTCTCAGGAACAAAGTATAATGCAGCAAATATGTTAGCTCTGGTGTACACACAGTTTTTGTACTGGTAAAACTGTTGGTCATGGATGTCATTTTTTTACTGAAATAGTTATATCTGTGCAATTCCTAGTGTGGACCCATTTATATCACCATAGAGATTCTTATATCAGTATAACTTATTCCCCCATAGTTATAAATAGGTATATGCATGTTCATATGGTATAACTGTGTCCACACTAGGAAGGTTATACCTCTTTAACTGTGTTGGTATAGTTTTCTGCGGACAAATCCTTCCTTAATACTGGCTTGCCAAATAGCTATTCCTCCTTGTTTGGTGATGGTTATGAGAACACATTCTTTTTTGTTTTAAAGGAAAACCAAATGAATAGATTTCCTGATTCTTCACCCCTGCCCTCTGATAGCACATGGAGCATACTTTATCAGTCACTAAGAGGGGAAATGAATGTGGGAGACCTTTATTACAATATCATGAGAACTCCACTGAAGGAGAGGTGGATAAATGAAGAGTTTTACATTCCTAATTTACCGCTGATGAGCATATGAGTTAAAATTCTTTAGGAACGTTTTTTGAGCTCACCAGCAACATACTACTAAAACCACAGCAGGCCAGATTCTTATGATTTGTCTACATGGTCAGATAATGTGCTGTACATAGGGTATGATTTCTAAAATACACTGTTGTGGATGCACATTAATGGATCTGTGTAGTCCCCGCTGTTATGTTTCACATAGTGCCGTTTGAAACAGTACTACGTTAAAGTGCAGTAGGGAACATTTACTGCTCACCAGCAGGATCTACGTGGACTAATTAATGTGCAACACATTAGTGGCTTTAGGAATCATACCTTTATAGAGCATTTTACCCCACTGTGTAGACAAGTGCTTAGTTGCATTCTGGCCCCTTTGGGCCATTTGAGCAACACCAAGGGGTCAGAAAGTTGGGCATGCACAACTGAGAATTCCTTGGGCACAGATGTGTTGAGGTCAGCATCTGCACTGTCCTTTCGCCCCCCGCCCCCGTTCTCCCTCACACATATTCTTGGCTCCGGTCCAGGGGGAATGTCAGGGTGGTGAGGGATTCTGGAGCTAGCGGTCATAGCTCAGATCTGCCCTGAGAAATAGGGAGCTCTAACAGGGCTTCCTCACAGTCTCCCCCTTGTCCTCTTTCACCATCAAATATGGGTTCTTTTGAGTGGAAGCTCAGGGCAGCAGAGAATTTGGGACAACCTGTACATTAGTAACAACATTCTCGTCTAAGGTTCATGTGTCAATAAAACATATGTGTGTGTTTGTGTATACTGAATTTAAACATAAGAAACCAAAACAGTATCACATGTGAAGGATCTTGTCTCAGTGCAATGGGATAGGATCATCTTCTAAAGTGAGGTGTAATGTAAGTGGGCAATGCTTCCTGTAGCATCCACGGCCATCCCCCATATAAAATATGAGAATTAAATCATGTGTCCAGGGTAAGGAGGTTGCATTAACTTTCCTTGAGGGTTTTCTCTTTGCTTTCTCATTTCCTAAAAGCACTATTGTAAAATGTGATACATGATTAATTTTCAGAAGACAATTTTTCTCTGAAAAGTGATCACCATGCAGTTCTAAAATGCCTTTTATTACATCCTCCTCTTAATGGCTACTGAGAGAACAGAGAGGAAATGAAGAGAGCAACTGATGGAAGTAAGGATCTTCTTTGATGACAACTAGAGATGTAGTTCAAAGTGTTCTATGTTATTTGAGGGTTTTCGTAGCATTGTGGTATCTTAATATTGAAGAAAATGAGCTATTTCAAAGCTAAATCTGACTGACCTTTATCTACATCATTTATTCAAACTTTTGTTAAGTCAATTAAAAAACCCTCAATAGTCCCAAAGAAAAATGTATTTTCACAAGCAAAAATATTACAGTACCTTTTCTCTAACAGGTGCTGTAGCCAGGCTGACTGTGGCAAAGCTGAAATTGCTTTGTAGTTAGCAGTGTTCAATATTAATGAAGGAAGGCTGTGAGCTAAAAGACTCTATACAAAGAATTTTAGAACAGTTACTCTATAGCTGTAATCCATCAGACGTGATCAATAAATTCTAGCTTAGATAGTTTTTAGATGTAGAGAGAACCCCTGAAAAAGAGGAAGGCTGTACACAGTCCCACAATCACTTAGCTTATGTTAAGGAGAAGAAAGCCATAAACAAAAGCTCCTTCCAGCCCTCCTTGCTTCAACTGCCATTTCCACAGCTATTGTGGGTGAAATTGACAGAAACTGGTAGATACAAATCTCCCATTTCCTAAAACCAACCCAGAGATAAAGGGTTCAAAATAGGAGGAAAGACAGGAAAAAATGAAAAGCTGAATATGACTTTCTTTCAAAATAATGGTTTCTGAGAATAGAGTATATTGCTAAGTAGTTTAAAATGTTTCCATATTACCTGAAGAATTTCTTTAAGGTCCTAAAACTAGGACCGGAAATCTCAGAAAAACGACCCTCCCCAAAAATTCACCATTTTAACAAAAGAGATCAAGATGAGCTCATAGAGTTTCAAGACACTGGTGAGTAAATCAGAAC